TGTCCCCCAAAAGCACATGTCACTCAACATCCCCCCCGCCCCCCACGTCCCCTGCCCGCCCGCCCGCCCCCTGTTCTACATCCATGCACTATTTCCAGGAAAGTTAATACTTGTACAACCCTAGAGACTTGAATGTGGGATGAGTACTAATGTACTGTGTCAGTATGTGTGCACACATGTATTGACACATTTCTAAGTTTTAGCAGCCCAACAGGCTACATAGTTGAATGTTATCCAAGGTCAATAACTCTCAGGGATAACTCTTGGTCCAAATGTGTGTTTTGGCCTGCAGAGAGTAATTCACTCCTCGTGAGTTGGCAGGCAGCGGCTGATAACTGAAACCCTCAGTGCACTCTTTACCCAAGTCCAAGTTCACATAAAATCACAACAGCTGAGTGAAGAAGAACAGGGACGGCTACGGAGTACTGATCCGTTACTGTGAGAAAAACATGAACAACCGAGAACCAATTCTACACAGACGCAACATCCAGCGAGTTCAGACGCCGAGATTCGTGCCATTGGGTGTGAGACAGATGGTGTGAGGAAGCATGTTAAAATATTCTTCGATAGATTCAAATCCTGCAGCACAAAACATATAAAATATTAGAACGTGTTTTGGGAAGCTGAGTGTCTGCGTTGATAAAATCAGCATTTATACAGGATTTTTTTTTTTTTTGGGCAATGTGTGGACTTTTAGTGTTAACCACTTGCGCCACCATGTTGGCCATTCAGTGTAATTGCAACGTCCTTCTCCATAGACTAGTTCCCGCCCATTGTCAAAAAAAATATTATGTCAACTGTGAATAGATGTGATTTTTTTTATTTAATTTTAGATTTTTAAATATTTTATGAAGTGAACCAACTTTTCTGGACGTGGGGCTAAAACAAAACACAAAACACTAATTGACCGTTTTTGTACAACAGTGTAAACTTTTTCCAAAGCACTGGATATAATATCACTACTGTATATTGTTTGTAAAATACATCAGGGCTTTAGCGTCCATATTTGGGACTCATTAAAGAAAACAACAGGTCGGGGAGACTTTCCTTTTTAAACAACTTGCAGAATAATATCAGGTTATTCTGCTGAAAAGGAAGTGGAAGATACAACTGGGATTAATCTCCGACACGTCTGGGGGGAACAAGGCGGAATTTCTTAATAAAAAAAAAAAAAACGGAGAAAAGCAGGGAGAAAAATAAAGCAGCAGGATGGAGGGTGAATACGGGGACGGTCCAAAAAACTGTTTGTCCTTGATTTTTTTTTATTTAATAGGGTTTTTTTTTTTAAAGTTTGAAAATATTTTTTTTAGAAAGAGCTGAAAACAAAGGTGAAGTCTTTCACTTAAATTTTACTGAATTTACTTGCCTTCAGTAAGAAGTTCAGTGGAACTAAGACAGCGCCCTGTGTCACACCACAGAATTTGAAGAAGCAGCACTACGTAAGCGGAAAAACGAGGGAAAGTCAGTGAAAAAAGGTTGTTTTTTTTTTCTTCGTCAGAGAATTCCTTCTTTGTAAAAATGTCTTTGACACCAGGTCATAACCTGGTCACAGGACGGAAAATCACTTCCTTTACATATTCCTTCAGTCTTGGAATACAGACGGCGCTAGATCAAATCTTGTTGATGAGCATCAATTATTTGAAAATTTTCAAGAATCGATGTTTGTTCTGATTTTGTTCTTTCACTTTTAACAAATCTGAAAATGGCATTAAACAACTCAGCCTCGGCCAGGATTTGAACCAACAACCCTATAATCACAAGCCGTTTTTTTTAACTCTGTCAAAGCTGTTTGACACCTGATGATGTCCTAACATGTTTTAGTGAATTAAGTCTGGCAAATTTGAAAATGATTAACAGCCTTAGAATTTATGTTTTACTTTTGAACAAAAATATAATGTTTTCTGGGTTTCAATGGTTTATGCATATTAATACGTTTTGATAAATAATGTTTTTAAAAATGTATATTCATTCCATTTTTAAATAACATCGATGTCTTAACGTGTGAATTCAGTGAATGCTGACACTGAAGTGTCCCTTCATGGTGCAGGTATCAGGTATCAGTCAGAGAGAACTACTTCTCTGAACATCACACTGTACAGCTAACGCGTAGGAAGTGGACTCGACAGCACAGCTGTGGAAAATATGAGCAGAAAGCTCAGGCGGCAGAATGGTTTCATCAAAAACCGGTAACTGGTGAAACGCCGGCGTGGTGTTTGTGTGGAGAAGGTGGAGGAATGTTTGACATCTGTGCGTGGAGGCGTGCTCCTCCTTGCATTTGTGCGCTCTTGTGAACATGGGATCTTATTAGCGAGGTTTCGTTGAGACGCTGCTGGTTTTGTCTCTTATGTGTCTCTCTTTCTTCTCGCTTTGATATTTTTTCATTTTTTATTTTTTTCTGTTGGCTGAGAGAAAAGAGAAAAGATCACAGGCTCAGATCGAGGAGAGCCGAGGAGGCAGAAGAAAAGCTTCTATTGGTTACATTTCAAATCGATGTATTTATCTGTCATTTTGTCACTGCCACCGCCGTCTACATGAAACTCTTTAGTGCTTTTATATAATTTACTCTAATATGGGTTGAGTCTTCACAGAAGAATAGGATTCCTAAATATTCAAAGTGCAGTTTTCTACCTTCTGCTCTTACTTTTGTTTTGGCTAAATATTTAGCTTTTGAGTTTTTTTGTTTATTTGTCCCAATGTTTTATTTAACAAATAAATAAAATAATAGCAGATATTGGGTGCAAATACCAAAAACATTTTTTATCATCTGAAAACAATATTCTCAGCCAAAGGATTTTCAGAATTTAAAGCTAACATCAAGTCATGTTTGTACAGGTATCTAGGTTCAGTTTAATTTTTTTTTTTTAAATCTACAGTATGAGACTAATTGTTACTGTAGATGTTATTTAGGCCGAAGTTATATGAAGCTGCCAATGCTAAATGCTAACGTTATGTAAAGATCAAAGTAATTTATCTGATATGATTAGTTCAAATGGAGAACATTCACAGACAGTAAAAGTTGGTGTTAATCATGAAAACCTAATGTAATTCTAAATTTAAAATGAAAAATTCACAGAACATTCTACCTGTCATTTTTTTCCCAAAGTTATTATCACAATGTTTAATTTGAGGTTGTTATCACCAAGTGTTTATTTCTTCACAATCTGTCAAGTAACATATTTGCGACACTGAAATAAGTACTACAGTATTACCATATAAGTTTAGTATAAAGCTTTAAGATTTAATTATTCATAAATGTTTTCTGTTTTTATTTCAAAATATTTGAAATTGGGTACTCACTTATACAGTATAATTTCCAAACAGCCCAAAAACTAAATTGGATGTACATTTACTTTTATGAATATTACACTAATAATATATATGCTTGTTCATAATAACTGTTATTTCCACAGCTCAGAGCAATAAAACGACAGAAGTTCACACTAACTGGAAGAAACATAAAAAAAATGTTTCTAATAAAACACTAACGGTATGAAAATGACTACAAACATACAGACCAAATGTCTGTGTACGGATTTAGATGCTATATCCCGGACTAGGTAGGAATATTGCATTAATACTGCATAGGTGAATGTGAAATACTGCCCAATGAATCACAGTATCGACCCATGCTTTTAGAGTAACCTATTGAAGTAACCAAACACCCACTTGCTTTGTACATTAATAGGTAATAAAAAGCAATAAGATGCGAACCTAAATGCAATACAAATACTCAAGGCTGCGCCACAGTTCATGCTTGTGTGTTCTGTTTAGCTGAAGACAACAGATACTACAGTACTAACGTCTGTGTACTGACCCTGGCTTTGTGTATTTTCTACCACTTCTCCCCTCCCCCGTCTCCCTCTCACCATCCATCTAGAGTTTTTCCTGGAGCTGCTGGACAACTCGGAAAAGTCTCTCAACAGGATGTTCACGCAGACGTACGGGAAGCTGTACATGCAGAACTCGGAGGTGTTCCAGGACCTGTTCACGGAGCTCAAACGCTACTACACAGGAGGCAACGTCAACCTAGAGGAGATGCTGAATGACTTCTGGTCTCGGCTGCTGGAGAGAATGTTCCAGTTACTCAACTCCCAGTACCACTTTACGGACGAGTACCTGGAGTGTGTCAGTAAATACGCAGATCAGCTCAAGCCATTTGGAGATGTGCCCAGAAAACTGAAGGCCCAGGTCACCAGGGCCTTCATCGCTGCACGGACATTTGTCCAGGGCCTCATGGTGGGTCGGGAAGTGGCCAGCAGAGTTGCCAAGGTGAGTTTGCTCTGGTTTTCTGTCTCTATGTTCATTCATTGAAAAAAACAAAAACAAACAGCCTTGTTGGTGGACCAGGTGTCCCACTCTGAGTGGCTCTGCACGGGATGCAGAAGTTCTTTTGGTTGCATCGCAAATTTAAATATAAATATTTTGACAGTTGGAATTTGTACACCTGTACAGACACTTTGTGTGATTGTTGCTAATATCAAGCGGCCGTGAGGAAACTAGCGCCACCTCTCATCTCTGAATATTTGACAAACTATTTCCGTCAAATGCGGAAAGAGTTGTTTTGGGTTTTGCACCAGAATAATCCTGATCTACTCTGAACATGACAAAAAGAAGATACCAACGATGCTATTCCTCGTGCACAGTCTCCAAACATGGATAATATGATCAAAGTCAAATTGGATATAAACAAATATGCAAATATAAACAGACTAAACTAGTTTTGTCTAAAGTGACTAAAACGTTAATCAGATGACTGTCAAAAATAAAATTATAGCAGTAAAAGAATTTGCAGAAATATAGCAGCGGGCTTTGTGCAATTATGCAAATGAAATGCAGCATATTTTTTCACTCTTTATTATATTTTAATAAATTATCAGCAGAGAGTAGTTGGGTGGCGTCGACAGTTAAGACGCTCGATGGCTTCTGGATAAACCTGTCTGTACATCTGCAGAAGAATGAAGAGGCAGTGTCCAGGGTGGCTGAGGTCAGAGGTCAGAGGTAATCCTCTCAGTATTTCTCCTGCAGCCCTGGGTGTAAATGTCCAGAGTGATGGGGAGCAGTGACCCGCTGATTCACTGGCTGCAGTGATTTGTCATCAATGTCATGCTCATGTCATTAAAATGAGCTGCTGCCGTAATAAAAATATTAAAAAGAAATAAAGACACAACAAAAAATCAGCCACGGCCCCTGCACTGCCTGGGGGGGTTTCAAACTTCACAGAATGAATGTGGATTTATCACAATTACTCATGATTAATCATGATGAGACAAATCTGAGGTTCAGGGGGGCTGGTACGGTGCAGTGTGATTTGGGTGGTGGTCATGGAGACTGCTGCCCCCGCGACCCAGTAACGGATAAGCGAATAAAATGGATGGATGGATGTTGATCAGTGCGACGGTACTGATGGCATTTTAAGCCCTCGAGGCTTCACTGAAACAAAAACTCTGGGTGGAATTATTGGATGTACAGTGCAAACGTATTTGCATTTTAATCCAAACAAGTTAATTTTGCCAGTCATAATATATTTTATCCATAATGTTGCAAGTGGTAAAATAATAGGCCGTTAGGAAATATATATATATATATATAAAGTATATATATATATATATATATTCAGTACATGAGGTGTGGCTTTGTATCTGTGAAACACTAAAGATAGCGCTATGACTTGAACATTCTATGGATGTTTCATCTTTTTTTAATCTGTCTAATCAAACGTGGTCTTAGAAACGTGTCCAACATCTTCCTGCTAAAATATAACCTTTGTGCCATGTTTCACTGAGCTGGTCAAACTGTCTGAAATTAATGTACTTCAGTAGTATCAGTACTGAATACTGATCTGTAACATTTTTACTTAATTTACATTGCATCCTTACTTATATGGTCGACCGATGAAATAAAGTGTTTATACCTTTAATTTCATTGGTCTGAAAACTGCTGTAAAACTTCTTTTTTAATACAACTAGTGCCCCCTCCCCCACAGTGTGGACCCCATTATATAATCATAACGAGAGTGAGGGAAAATAACAGCATGTTCCCCCAGAGAATGCTAATGCAGTTTTGTTTGTTTGTCACTATTTTAGGAGTATTTCAATAATGACATTTAATTGGATGTTTTTTGCTTTGATTCTTTTTTTTGTTCCCTTTGTGGAAGCTTAGATTCAAGAACAAGTTTAATCATTTAAAAAACACTCTAAAGGATTATTTTTCTTTCTTTCCCTCACTGAATTAGTCGACACAATGAAGATCAGACTGACAAAGAACTGTAGAAGAAGAACTGTCACTAATTATATCTTTAGGGAAGAAGTTGAACATTTACAGCTGCTCTCCTCACGTCCTCTCTGTCTTCTTATCTCTGCCTTCACCTCTACATCAACCATCTCCAGCTCCTCCTCAAACATCTATTACTCTTCTCTGAACTCTTTGTCCTTCCTGGCAGCTCCCTGTCCAACGTTCTTTGTCCAATGTGTCCACTACTTCTTGTCCAAACACTTTGAACCAAACTGGAAATGTCATCAGGCAAATGTGTCTGGAAGTAGAATCAGACCACTGGGAAAAAAGAAACCGATTCATTAGCCCTAACCTCAATCCTTCCGACTGTGTTCCACTACATCTGCAAAACATCCACCATCCTCTCCCCAAGACATTTTCGTACCTCCACAGATATGTAATCTGAACCACCTACCCTTCCACTCTTCATCCCCTTCAAAAACACCCTCATTCCTCCCTTCCTTCCTACTTATGAATTCCTTGCACTTCTTGATTCACTATGTATCCTTCATCTGTCCTCCTCTATTGTCTTCCTTCTAAAAATCCTCCTTCCAGCCTCAGACACTCTGTTCCACCCCCCCACCACCCCCACCCCCCGTTCTCCACCTCTGTCTCTCTCAATAGCCAAACGACACAAATCCTTTTCTCCTCCCGTACAGTCCAACCCTTGGTACCGTTTATCACACACTTTCTTCTTTGCCTTTGCCACCCATCTCTTTACTATGCAAGTCTCTTCTCAGCTCCACCTTCGAATGCTTAGTTTTAGCATTCATTCCTTGACTCTTCGTCGATTCACTTCTCGTCAAAGTCATTTTTAGAAAACCACCATCGTACTGTATGCTACATTGCTACACTACCTTAAAACTTCCATCTTTGAACCGTGGCTTTTTGACGTGACAAATCCTATTTCTATCCTAGTATTGGACAGATATTCAAATAAAAGGAAATTAAAATGTACATTTTTGTCTAACTATTAGTGATGTTTAATTTGGGATCTGGTCATGGGCCAGATTTGTTTCGCAGATTTGAGCGCATGTTTAGCTCGTTTTTTCTAGATTATTGAATCATTATGCTGCCAATAATTTTGCTTGTTTTTTGTCTGTTCCTCGTATCACATTCTTGGTCAACTTTTCATTGTGTACTGTGCAGTTATCTGAGGGTATTTAGGACAATATAAAACAATGGGTCCATTTATTTATTTTTTACTGGTTTTCACTGGTTATGGCCATTTATCTGGGCTGTTGTTTAAGGTTATTTTTTTCTTCACTTATTTAGATGTAAATTATACAACAAAGCCATTCAGTATGGTGTTCCATCAAATTCTAGTCATACTCTGCCAGGAACGATCCCAGGTTAAATGTTTAGCCCAGAGACGTCACTCAAACATCTGACTCCCTTTGTAGAAGTCAGGGTAGTGCAGCTCCTGGACCACAGGGGGGGCATTATTTTTTTTAACAATTTAAAATCCTGACATTGTATGAATTCTGCTTGAAACTGACAGAATATGAATAAAACATGTTAATGTTTAAAAAAGGAAAAGAAAATTCAGAATATTTTTTTAAAAAATCTTCCATAAAGTTAACACATTAGTTTAAAAATGACTGCAGACTTTGAAGGTGGTTTGATTTCTTTTCATCTGCTTTTTAAGAAGAAAAAAAAAAACCAACTCACTGTCCTCCAATAGTTCCGCAGACAATTTGTCAAAAGATAAAAGAAGAAAATAAGAGAAGGGGAAGAAGAGATTGGTACGAGGAGTGATCTCAGCTGAAGAAAGAACTTTAATCATTCTGCTGTTCGAGGCTTTACCGACATCCTCTGATAAGCAGCGGCTTTACCGACACTAATCACTGACCTGGGTGAATGGTGAACCTCCAGTTGATGTGTGAAATTTAATTAGTGGTTTGGTTTATTTATATCCTCCTCCTGTACACACTGTACACAGATAATTAAGAAGGATGACGAGTATTAGCATCATAACAGTATTTACAGCGACGGTCATAAATTCCTTTTTTTATTTAACATGCCAGTGAGCTCTCTGTGGCATTTCAGGCAGAGAATTTAAATCAGTGCCTCTTTGCATTTTTCCTGAGTTTGCGATGGAGTGTCACTCTGGATCAAATCCCATATTTCCCAGTTTCCTCATCAATTATGAAGTGGAGCCAGGAAGCATCAAGGCCTACCGGAGGCTGTGGACGAGGTGAAGTTCTGCAGCGAGACAAATCTCCTTGACCGCAGGATCACCCTATGGTATTTGCTGCTGTCGGCGACAAAGGGCCACATTCTTTTCATTCAAGTGCAGCGTGTTCAAATCTAAACTCCAAAGCTTCAAGTACTTTGTAGCTTCTATTCAATTTTATATCTTTAGAAAATTAAACAAAGAACTCGTGCCTTTGGTGTTTAAATACCACTCATTTCATTCAATGCCAACGCAGCACAGCAACTCTCTCTGGGTGTTGGAAGACAAATACTATTGTGACACTTCTACATGTTGTGTTTCTGAAGAACATCAACACAAATAACTCACAAATTAACATTGTCAAGTAAAATAATTAACACTTACAATTCAAGGATAATTTGAAGACAAAAGTGATTGTAGGATAAGTCCTCGATTAATAAAAAAGTTTTAAACATTAATTAACGGGAAAGAAACGGTACAAAGAAATGGTACATCCAACATTTTTTTCTACGACATCTGACCACCTGATTGGTTCGACCGCATTTCTAACCTTGAAAAGTTAGGAACAACCATTTGATCCAAATAAGTAAATAAAGAAGATCACGGTTTGAAGCTGGGGTGGAAACTAATGCTGCATGAGTATGAAGGTTATAGAGATTATGTTAACAGAACAATAAATCGACCTAAGACAGTATATGTCGCCTGCAGTGACTGCTGTGATTGGCTGCAGCTCCAGAGAACTCAGCAGAGGAAACAAAACCCTGAGAACACTGAAGACAGACTTCTGTGACTGAAACAATTAGCTTCGACTTTTAACTAATGT